CTGTGAGAAGTCCAAGGGGTAGGGAATCTTTCTCTACTGTATAATCATCTTGTAGACCTAGTTATAAAGTCAATGCAAAGGCTTAAATGGGGGAGATCCTACCAATATAGGAGAGGACCAAGACACCCTTTCTATTCAATGCTAGAAGCTTCACTGATTTCTTTGCAATCCTTAGGAAAGGCCCACCCAGCCGCCTGGTTTGGGCCTGATGTTGCAGCTAATAAATATTAGTCTGGGTAACATATGTATGGCTGACGTTCCATTGGTAATCCTCTAGCTATTTTGAAGCCTCCTCTCCTGCCAACTCTACAGAAGCTGGAAATCCAAACACTCACTGTCCTAAACCTCCCTTTCATGGGTGGTCTTGTGACCCAACTATTGAGAAATAAGTGTGTAAAAAGGACTCTGGGCAGATTTCCTTCCCTGATGAAAGGGAAAATGGGGTTTCTACATGACTCCCCTTTCTACTTCTTCCCAATTTGTACAAGGACATGATGTCTAGGGTTACAATAGTCGTCTGTGACCATGAAGCAACAAGCCAGAGGATGAAACACAACATGCTAAAGGGCATTAGACAAAAAGACCTTATTGGCCAACCACTGATGGGGAGGCAAGGTCATATGCCAGACAATAGGCCCTGTACTTGACACTGGTAGCATCAAGAGTGAGGAAGACAGAGACTCAGCTTGCTAGAATTCTCACTTCTTGAGGATTTGAGCAGGGTGCGGTATTGAATCATCATGGACCCTGGTATACTGAACACAAAGCACTGCAACATGCAACCACTTTCCATATGGGAGATGTTTGACACATCTATCAAGAATGGTACCTTGGCCAGGTCTAACCCAGGGTCTAGAAACAGAACTAGGAGGCTGAGGTTTTCCCTGGAGGTACTAGATTTATGGAAAGAAGCAACAAAAAGAGCAAAATCATCCTCAAAGCCCATGTAGACCTCAGATACTGCAGAAATTGCAATGAGCCTAAATACAGGGATATATATATTCCTCTACAAGTTAGGGGTCAAACTCCAGGCAGCAGTTGGGTTCTCCTGGCCCTGTCAGCAGCAGAAGGTAAACAGAAACAACTTGCTAACCACTCAACCAAAAAATCAGTTTCAGCATGGGACGGGGGAATTCTAATATGTTATCCTGGCTACTAAACAAAAGTCTGCCTTAAAAATATTAACTGGAACAGGGGTGCCTGGCTGGCTCAGTTGGAAGAGCATGTGACTCTTGATCTCCAGGTCATGAGTTGGAGCCCCACACTGAGTGCAGAGATTACTAAATAAATAAGCCTAAAAAAATTAACTGGAACATGAATGTATCTGTATTACTGAAGTTAAAAAGATGCACAAGAGAAGTGAGATGTGGCTTTTGACTCAGTGAACAGCATCTATAGCCAATGAAGGGTCAGAAAGCTTTTTTATATACTCAACTATATTAAGTTTGTATATTTTCTTTATTTTTTAATTTTAAAAAGCTTTACTTTGTTTCTAATTACAAAAGTATACATCCTTATGGAGAAATACTTAAATACAGAAATAAAAAGTTCACATTACTCATTATATTAGTTTCCTATTGCTGCTATAACAAATTATCACATATTTAATGGCTTAAAACTACAGAGATTTATTATCTTACCCTTCTGGAGGTCAGAAGTCTCAGTGGGCTAAAATCAAGGGGTCAGCAAGGCTAGGGTTCCTCTGGAAATTTTGGGGGAGAATCTCTTTCCTTGCCTTTTCCACTTTCTAGACGCCATCTGCATTCCTTGGCTCATGGCCCTTCCTCCATCTTTAAAGGCAGCAAGGTAGTGTCTTTGAGTCTCTAACTCTGATACTGATTCTCCTGTCTCCCTCCTTCACTTCTAGGAACTCTTGTGATTACATTGGACCCATCTGGATAATCTAGAATACTTTCCCTATCTCAAGGTCTACTGATTTTTACCCCTAATTCCATCAGCAACCTTAATCATCCCTTACCATGTAATATAACATAGTCACAGGTTTCAGGGATTAGAACATTTTGGGGAGGCATTATTTTATCTACCACACCCACTATTTTACTAACCAGGATTAACCACAGTGAATATTTTAGTGAACAATTCCTTCCAGACCACTCCCCATGCATATGCATATAGAGATCTACCTATATACTTATTTATGCATATAGATATATAAAAATTGAATATTACACCTATCTTTTGCTACTTGCTTTTTCCACTTAACCTCATGGGAAATGTGTGTAGATTTCTACCCATTATTTTTAATAGCTACCATAGTATCATTTTACCACTGAATAATATTTTTTGAGTAAATACCATGTGTTGAACACAGCATTAAGTGCTCACTTAATTTAGTCCTTACAACATTCCTACGAACTAAGAGCTATTATTACCACCACCATCCCTTCAGAGCAAGGACACTGGAGGGCGTTCATAGAGAGATTAACTTGCTCAAGAGACAAGTTAATGGTAGTACTCATTTTAACTACCCTATAACCATGCTCTTCACCACATGGTGACCTGCTTCCTAGGATATGCCACACAGATGTCCCTTAGGTTATTTAAACCTAGTGTCCCACTATAAAGATTTTGGCTGTTTGTAATTTTTTACTATTAAAAATAGAACTGAAATAAACAAGATCATACCCATGTCCTTGGACACACTTGTGATGATTTAAGAACAATTCTTTGAACTATTACTATATGCTAAGACTTTATGTGTATTTCTAAAATGTCCTTCAGACAACATACAGTAATTCACACTCCCAGTGTCAACACTTTGAATTATTATTATTTTTAATCTTAATAATACAATGAGGCAAATGGGTGTATTATTTTTTTCTTTGCTAATTTCTTTAAATGTTCTTTCAATATATTTCTTGAGAATTTTTTTATTTTATGAAGTGCCTGTTCATGTTGTTTGCCCAGGTTTCTATTTGGGAATTAATGAAGTTCCTTTTAAAGGATGGTTTGGATTTTGTAAAGGTCATCCCACATTGAAGGAATGACGAGTCAAAGTAGAAGCTGAAAACACCTCAGAAAACATGTTCAGGAAAAAGAATGAAAATAGAAATAAAAAGTCAAAATCTAAGGACATCTGGGTGGCTCAGTTGGTTAAGCATCTGTCTTTGGCTCAGGTCATGATCCCAGGGTCCTGGGATCGAGCCCCACATCAGGCTCCCTGCTCAGCGGGGAGTCTGCTTCTCCCTCTGCCTGCCGCTCCCCCTGCTTGTGCTCTCTTTCTCTCTCTCTGTCTGATAAATAAATAATCTAAAGATTAAAAAAAAAATAGAATGACCTATTTA